GGATGGCACGGGACACAATAGGAGGAAGTGGGCCCCCATTTTTCCAGTCCTCTTTATCTGACTGATGGAAAGACAGTTCCTGACCCCACCTCGGGATCAAATACCCAGTAGTAGCCCAGGGTTCTGCATTTTATCAAGTGGAGAAGGTCTGTAAGTGCTCTCAAGTCTGAGAGTCATCTTCTGGAGGGTGAGGAGGGGAGGGAGGAGGGAGAGCAGACAGGACAAGGCAAAAGGAAGTTGACGCTCCTCCCCAAACATACACACTTGGTGGAAGCTGTGGATGGGAACTCCATGTAGCGGACAGTGGGTACGAACAGGTGCTTACCCTGTAATCCCAGTACTAGGGTGGCTGGGGCAAGAGGACAGTCATGAGTTTGAGACCAGCCTGGCCTATATAAGGAGTTCCGGGCTAACCTGAGGTACAAAGTGAGGTCCTGTTTGGTTTTTTGTTTTTGAAAACAAAAGGCAAAATGGATAATATGATAAGTGGAGAAAGGGACCCAAATTGTGTGGGGTGGGACATAGCCAAGATGAGGCTGGGAAGTAGCCAAAAGTGGGACTTGACACATGCAAGGCGTGCCCACCCACCCTTCTTCATGGCCACCTGAGACTCTGCCTTGCTGGACCCAAGATTCGGAGATGGGTAATCACAGAGGAAGGCGCTCCCACTAGCTTTCTGGGGAGGAGAGCCAGATAGCAAGCGTTTCATTCCCCAAGACCAGTGAACCTCTAATAGGGTGCATCTCAGGAATATGTGGGTCCGCATGTGTCACCACCCTAACCGGGGTCCTCTGCACCCGCGGGAACTCAGCTGTGTCCAGCTTCCTTCTGACCTGTTCACTCCGGCCTTCCCCAGCCCCCAGTTCCAGATCATCTGCATAAAGTTCCAATTAACACGTTTTCCTAGAGCTGTTTGCGATCCCTGAACTCGCTCCCAACCCAGAGCCGGCTTCCTGCCGCCCCCTCGTCCCTGGGATCGCAGCTCTATTAACCCTTGAGCCCCAGGCGGCTCCGGCTGGCCTCTGGCCTGTCTTTTTGTAGAAGTCAGCGAGCCCGGACGCACCCCTAGGCGGCTGACTACTCAAAGGGCGAGCCAGAGACCGGTGCTCCTCCGGAAAACGACAGGCGTTTGCCCGCCCCTCTTTCTGGGAAGAGATGAGGAGGGGGACTTCTCCCGGGAGACTCGGGGCGTCGAAATTCCTCGTTCCTCATCCTCCGGCCCCCGCACCCCTCCTCCCGGCAAGGCACCCTCTCCCCTCCCCAGCCATCTGTTCCTCTAGGCAGCG